AATTTCATGAAGATTGAGTGTCTTTCTCTAGCATTAATTGCCTTCTCTTATTTTTCCTTCCTTCCTTCTTTTTGTCCTTTCTTTCTTTCTTATCTCTCTAATCTGCTTTTAAGAGTTTGCTGCTAACATCAGATTATTTTTGGAATGTAGTATGATGAAGAATAAGTTGGCACTTAACTTTAGTCTGTTTAGGACATGGAGCCTCAATGGCATTAACAGGATTATACTGAAAACACTGATAGAACCAAATAGTTGTTTTGTGGGCTTTAAACAAAATCTGTTTTCTTAGAAAAAATATTTACTGTATAATAAACTTTAAAAGAGAATACAAAGCTATAAAATACTATGATCCCAATTTTTGAAAATAAATAAAATACATACATACACTTTGAAAAAGATTAAAAGGAATTGCATCAACCTGTCGATTGTAGTTCTGGATAGTGGGGTATGGGTGATTTTATTATCTTTTGTTTTCTTTTCTATATTCAAGTTTTCCACAGTGAACATTAGTATTTTTATAATCTTATGAAAATGTCTTCTTAAAAGGTCTGGTTTCTGTAGAAATTAGAGCAGGTCGTTTTCTGTGTTACTTTCTCCTTTGGTTGCCTTAGCCCCTGGACCTTTCCTAATGGCAAAGAGGAGCTTAAGTGTAAGCAACAGATAAAATATGGGTGTACTCTACTTTAAAAATAGATATTTCTAATAAAGAGTATGAATAACACTCAAAGAAAAATCTTATGACACATTGCAACATTAAACAGAAATTATCGTTAGGCCTCTCCTAATGGCAAAGAGAAGCTTAGTGTCGGCAACAGATAAAATATGGGTATACTCTATTTTAAAAATAGGTATTTCTAATATAGAGTATGAATAACACTCAAAGAAAATCTAATGAACCCCTTTTATAAGCTGTCCTGGCTTGCGTTTCTCAACATACCCTTGGTTTCTTTAGATTGAAGTATATAAATGAGAACTGTGACTTTGGATAAACTTTTTTAGTGATCTTTACAGTAATAGTAGTAAGTTCCCCATTAGACAGTAGTTTTTTGCCTTATGACTTGTTGTTGCTAGGTTATCCCCAAGAGGTTGAGAAATTCCTGTTTTGAAAAGTCCAGAAAGTCTCTGGTGACTTAGTTTCATTTTTATTTTTCTTTTCAATTATAGAAAACAGATAGAATCACACTTTTCTCTATATGCTGCCATCTACTCTATGCTAACCTGAACCTAGTAAACGCCTTGAGAGAATTAAGCCCTACCTGATGCCCTAAGCCAACCACTGTATGGAATGAATTCACTTCTTTCCTATGCTGCCAGAATAGTGTATGTCACTCAAATAGTTGTGCAAATCACTTTCTGTGTTCTGAGGTTCACTGAAGTGGTTATTAAATAATAAATTTAGAATTAATTTGTAGCTAAAATATACTTTAGTTAGAACTTAGTGGAGTTCTTTAGATTAATTTGTAATTTGAGAATTGAGATTGTGAAATAAGTAGACTCTTAATTTTCTTCCAGTAAAATTAAAAAAAGCAAAGCTTGTTGGCAGTGGTTTTCCTAGACAATTTGGCTAGTGATCTCTTAAGAATGTGCTGTTTTTATGTAGAACATTTGGTCTGATTGTCCTGTGGCTGCTGTTGATTATATATGGTTTGTAGGTAAGCAGCCTGTAAAGAAATCACTGTTTGCCCATGTTCTCCTTGAAAATACTTCCTGCTCTTTGACCTTGACTTACAATGATTATTTTTTTCCATGTAGGATAGCTATTACAGTATTACCTATGAGGATTAGATAAGAAGTAGAACACAAAATCAGTCTTTTTTGGTGCTTTAATTTTATGGAAAAGACTACTAGCTGGGCTCTGGTTTAAGAAATGGCACAACTATTGTATTACTTAGTAGCCTACTTCTGTCCCCAGCCAAAATGTTAAAACAGCAACAACAACCAAACAACTCTGAGTTATAGACTCAAAATGGATCAAACAATTTCTAACAACTTGTATTTTTTTTATGGTACCTTATCCATGAGTCCAAATCAACTTGATGGCAACTAACAACAACAAGAAATTTTGAAAATGCATGACCCAATGTTAACCTGTAGTTGAGCAGGTGTAGTAGGGTGCTGCTTTTTGGTTTTCATTTGTAACTTCAGGGGGTAGACTGTGATGGCTCTACATTTTTATCCAAGATAGGCAATTAAGTAATTAGATGACTTTTTACTAATTTATAACACTGGAGTTTATCATGAAAAATGGATGACTTGCTATAAATCCACAGCTTCTTGGTTAAATGGTCTAGAGCAGCGCTGTTCAATATGAGACCCACATATGCAGCGTGAAATTTTCTAGCAGCCACATTTAAAAAAGTAAAAAAAGAAATGGCTGAGATTAATTTTAATAACATATTTTATTTACCCAGTACATCCTAAATATTCTGGGAGCCCTGGTGGCACAGTGGTAAAAGTGTTCAGCTACCTACCTAAAGGTCTGCTGTTCGAACCCACCAGGCCGACTGCAGGAGAAAGATGTGTCCGTCTGCTTTCGTAAAGACTTACAGCCTTAGAAACCCTATGGGGCAGTTCTGCTCTGTCCTGTAGGGTCGCTGTGAGTTGCAATTGACTTGATGGCAATGGGTTTGGGTTTTGGGATATTAAATATTATCGTTTCAACATTAATATTTTTCTTTTTTTTTGTACTAAGCTTTCAGACTCTGTTGTATATTTTACACATACAACATATCTCAGTTTGAACCAGCCACGTTTCATGTGCTCAGTAGCCACAAAAAAATGTGGCTATGACTATGTAGTTCTAGTGTTCTAGTAAATTCACATGCAGTAGAATCTACATAAATTTTTGTATTAGACAGAGTTGTATGTAAATCAGGTCCTAAGAAACTTAAGGTAGATCATGATGCTATTAGCCTATGAGGCAGATTTTAACTTCAACGTGATTATTTTAAGAGAGTTCTAATGGCCTGTGATTTCTTACTGAGGTTAATACCAGCCGTGGTTACTATGTTTCAGCATGGAGCATGTACTTCCCTACTGCTTTTATTGCAGACAGTGTTCATTGTTCGTATGCCACTACCCAAGCAGCATCAGTGGTGTGGCAGGTCACAGTTGGGGTGGGAGATGCTGAAGAGAGGGCAAGCACAAGGAAGTGGTTGCTGAAAATGTTTGGGAGGTGCCTAAGAGGAATGAAGACATTGTTAAAAACAAAAAACAAAAACCCTAGCGCCCAGGAAGCCTACTTATTCCCCTCTAACATTTTTCCTCCTCTAACATTGTTGGAATATTTAGTTAATTTGTGGAACATGTTTGCTGGATTAGGGCAAATACCTCATTCTGATGTTCTCATTTCTTTGCTTTACTGAACGTTTTCACCAGTGGAATTTAAGTCCTTGTACATGAGGAGGGAAAATGCCTTAGATCTGTGCTGTAAGTGTAAAATATAGATTGGATTTAGAATACAAAAAGAAGAATGTAAACTATCTCATTAATTTTTTATAGGATTACATGTTGAAATGATAATTACATGTTTTTGATATATTGGGTTAAAAAGAATATATTATTAAAATTAATTCCACCTGTTTCTTTTTTACCTTTTTAATATGGTTACTAGAAAATTTTAAATTATGTCATGTGGCTTCCATTATATTTCTATTAGAAAATGTTGCCTGAGATGGTTAACAGAAAAACTGAATTGAGTGGAGCCCTTTTCTTATTAAGTGTAAAGGCTGTTTTGTAGGTACTACCTGTGCTTCAGAGTTCCACCAATTGATGCTGTCTTTGCAGTAGGAAGGGGAGGATTTTCTGTCTGTTCCCCCCAAAGAGGAAGGGAGAACTGCAACACAGTCGTCGTGTGTCCTCAGAAACCTGATCCTGAACCACTTACTGACAATTAAACTTCCTGCTTTGAGAACAGAAGACTTGTTGTAGTTGTTTTTAAATAATATTTTACTGGTACTATTGGCTTTGTCATCAGTTTGCTGAATTATTTTTATGAAAGGGCCAGTGCGTAATTAGGCACTTTGTTCATGCGTTCTCTGAGAAATAAATCAAGAACTTTAGTCAAGTGTATGTGTTTATATGTATCAAACCTTTCATTAAATGTTGTCTGTATCCCAGACAACCATTTCAGTAGACCTTGGTCTGTGCATACCTTAGTCTTGGGTTGTTACTTGTAGTTATTTTTAGAACTTCTTATGAGTACTTGGTCTGTATTGCTATTTCCATGACCCAAGGTATTCCAAAAGAGGACTAAAACAAGGTGATTAGCCAGGTCAGTTTCTCATACCTAGGTGTATCACTGGGGTATTCATGAACCTGGGGACAACTTGTATCCCTGGTAGTTAGCTTCCCTTCTTTCTCATCCCAGACTGAGAAATTAAGAAAACGAAATTACTTTTTGTTGAGTGGGAGAATCCTCGGCAGATCCTCGCTTATATTTTTAAGCTTGTGGTCTTGGAATTAGCTCTCTGTCCTCTTTTTGCCCTCCCAGAACATCCACATTCTACATTTTTGTCTTGGTTCAGATTTACTATGTCTGACTCCTGGTTTACCTGAAAGGGGTGGACAGTGGAAAGAAAGGAACTGACATTTGTTGAGCACGTGTTATGTGCTAGGTACTGAGTTGGGTGCTTTAGAAATACCTCAACAGTCTGTAGGGATGGGAATTAGGATTTCAGTTTTATAGATGAGGAAATACAGATCTAGAAGTGAAGTAATTTTTCTGACCTCACCTAGCTGTGGTAGATAATAATTCTAGAACTTGGCTTCATGCCTTCCTTCTCATCCCAGTTTAGAAGAAGCTGTGATATGGTTCCAGAGGTAGAGATTGTCAGTGTGTGTGTATCGTTCTGTACTGGTAGAGCCAGGCAGAATCCCTTCCAAAGCATCGTTTTTCCCTAATCACAGGCCTGATGCCTATATTGGGTAGAAAGGCTACTTCTGGGTTGTTTACCTCTTCTGGGTGCCTGTAGTGACCATATGGACATGTTGGTTTACAGTTGGGACCCCGGATTCCAGCAGGATGGCCCAATGGAATCAGCTACAGCAGCTCGACACACGGTACCTGGAGCAGCTGCATCAGCTGTACAGTGACAGCTTCCCGATGGAGCTAAGGCAGTTTCTGGCCCCTTGGATTGAGAGTCAAGATTGGTAAGTTCTTCTTGAGAAACTCCCTAAATTGTTAGGTTTTGGTTTGAGACGTGATTGCTCTATCTTCCCTCTTTGCTGTTTCACCAAAAACTTACAGCTTGGGTGATGGAATAAGAGAGAGGAGATAAAGAAGTTGTCTTAGTCTTGTAGAACATTTTATGTATTAAAAGGACTTATGAGCAACATCTCTTAGGACATGGTAGAAATATTTTTGATTTGGGTGAGAGTTCTCTCACAGGTAGAATTTTGGGCCCACACTTGTGCCTGCCCTTTCATTAAAGGAAAGAGACACAGGGTAAGAGAAATAGACTCTGTCATAGGGGAGATAATGGCACGGTAATCCAAGAGCTGTTTCCTTCACTTTAATGGATTCAGGTCCATTTTACTAATTTTGGTTTAATTCAGGCTTATGTTAATATGACCTAGTTTTTTCTGAGTATACTCCCTGATTTGGTGAGGGACCTGGGAGGTGATTCAGAGATGTTGGAGATAGGCCATCCGAGCCTGGGATTGCTTATTGGCTACTAATAATCTGACCAAGTTGACTCAGAATTTAAAACAAAACAATGGATGTATTCACTTCACTCAAGTATGTTGTAAGCATAGTCTGTGGAAGTGACCTATATATCTGAGTAATTGTCAATAACTGTTAATGATATTTATTGTTACTGAGTACGATGAATCTCTAAAATGATGAGTGAGTTATAGTATCATGTTTGCCTTATTTTTTTTCTCTTCCTTCTTGATGGTCATTTCTCTGTGTGTGTATATGTAGGTTTCAGCATCACTCTTCATTATTCTTCCTTTTCCTAGGGCATATGCTGCCAGCAAAGAATCACATGCCACTTTGGTGTTTCATAATCTCTTGGGTGAGATTGACCAGCAGTATAGCCGCTTTCTACAAGAGTCAAATGTTCTCTATCAGCACAATCTGCGAAGAATCAAGCAGTTCCTTCAGGTATTAATCAGAAACTGAATAGAAGGAGAAAGGGAACCTGGAGAGTGGGGCTTTCTCTTTCTTTGCTAGAAGTAGTTTATTTTCTCATTTGGCTAAGTAATGAGAACAGACCGATCTTCTACTTTAAATCAAAAGAGAAACGATTAGCCCTTTCTCAAATCTCTGTATACTCACCCTTGAGAATCATTACCTGAAATTCACAGGCCAGCTTTTTCTGCCACAGTTGAAGTAACAATGTAATTGTAACTAGGTCCCCTCATAGGGAGATGACCCTTACTTTCAAATGGTAAAAATTTGACCGTAATTGGGTATTCCTTGACAAAGTCAGTTGCCTCCTTGTAATACTGGGATAACATACTGTCCAAAGACTCAGGCTAATGTTCCTTCTCCCGCAGAAATAGTACAGGTCATTATAATCACTCTTCTTCTTCTCTTCTCCCCGTCATCCCCCAGTGGTTTCAACCAGGCTCTGAGGCCTGTGTTCTGTTGTTTCATGTACTAAGTAACTCTTTCCTCAACTTGTAAAAATGAAAATGAGGAGGCAGTAATTCCTGTTTAGATATTGTCTTAAGTATAGTATACATCTCCTTATTTTACTGCTGCTTTTCACTCTCTTTTCCTCCCACTTACAGAGCAGATATCTTGAGAAGCCAATGGAGATTGCCCGAATTGTGGCCCGGTGCCTGTGGGAAGAGTCACGCCTCCTCCAAACTGCAGCCACTGCAGCCCAGGTGAGACCTGAGAAGAAACAAAGCACTGTTGGAGATATGCTTTCCTTGTGTACAAAGATGCAGTTGCTGTTATATGGGCATTAGGATGCAAACTGTCCTCCAAGGTAGAAATGGGTGTTTGTGGGGTTTTTTTTTTCATACAATGAAAATAACTTTGTTTTTTCCTGAATATATAATGCATTCTCTTGGCCCCTCCTCTTTTAAAAAAAATTAAAACATTATAGCAAAGTACAAGGGACAAAGTAACAAATCCGAAACTCCACATACTTCCTCTCTTTATTGTCTCCTCTCAGGAAACCAACGTTAATAGTCTGGTATATATCCTTTTCATACCTTTCTCCAGGCCCATATAAGCGCACAGAAAATATATATACATTTATTATTACATCATGCAAATCCTTCTGAGTCAAGTAGTATAACACTAACTCATTCTCTTTATTTGCTACATAATATTCAGTGATACAAATTTGCTCTAATTTGTTTAATCATTTCCTCTTTGATGGACACTCACTTCATTCTGCTTTTTCCATTACAAACACTACTGCAATAAATCTCCCTGTTACATCTTTATATAGTTGTACTTTCATTTCTCTGGGATAGATTTCCAGGAGTGGAATTGCTGGATGAAAGGGTATATATATTTCTAATTTTAGATCGTTCCAGATTGCTTTCCCCAAAGGCTGTATAACAGTTTGCATTTCCACTAGAAGGATATAATAACGTATTTTTCTTCTTGGGAGCCACCTTGGAGATGGTTTGGGGTTGAGTCATTCAGGTTCATATGCATTTCCCCTTTGTGGTCTAGTTTTGAGAGTAACCTCACTGAGCTAGAGATGCAGTTTAGGGAAAAGAGTTAATGTGGCACTAAATGTTCCATTTGGGGAACAGTTCCATGTCACCATCTGATCATTTATATTGATACATGACAGACATAGCTGTATCTATTATAACATCTAAAACATACCTATTATATATGTGTGTGTGTGTGTGTGTGTGTGTATTATATGTTGTTTGCTGTTGAGTTGATTCTGACTCTAGACCCTGTATGATAGTAGAACTGTCCCATAGGGCTTGCTTCCTAGGCTGTGATCTTCATGGGAGCAGATCACAGGGTCTTTTCTCCTGCAGAGCCACTGGTAGGTTCGAACCACCAACCTTTTAGGTAACAGCTGAGCACTTAACCATTGTGCTCCCAGGGCTACTTAAATATATTATATATAAGGTGTATACGCATATAAATTATTTCTCTCTCTCTCACTACACACACACACGCAAATACTTATCTATACATCCTACTGTGTGTTAGTTATTATGACTCTCTGCTCTAGAGGAGGTTGTGGTCTGGGAGAGAAAGAAAATCAAACAACTTTATAATACAATAAAATATCAATCATTAAAATATCCTAAAGGAAGAAAGAAAAAACTTAAATATATCAATGACCATAAAAATACATTGAAAAATATATTTTTTATAAATTGTATACCCCCTCACTCCCTAAAAAATAAGCCAACCAGCCCAGATGGTATAAAAGTTGTGTTCTAGCAAACTTTCATGTTACAGATTGTTCCATTATTATCTAAACTCTTCCACAGTATAGGAAAAAAAAAAAGAGATGTCTCCAGCTTATTTTATGAGGCTGGAATATCTTAATATCAAAACCTAAAAAAGACAGCGTAAGTCAAGAAAATGGTTAGGATTTTTGCATCCTTTATGATCTACAAAAGCATGGTTTATAGTCTAGAAATGCAAGGATGGTTCAACATTAGGAATTCTATTAATGTTACTCATTAAGTGAATTTACAGAATATCTATTTACAGATTGATAGATCTTCCTAGAAAATCAGAGAGAAACAATAAAGAAAACTATTAACAACCAACAAAAGTTCAGAAAGGTGATTGCATAAGAGAAATATTTTTTAAGAATTGCTAGTTGTCCTATATGATAATAGCAATAACCTGCTAGAAGATGTCATAGAAGAAAAGATCAGATCCATAATAGCAAAACTAAATGTGTACAATGTGTCTGTATCATTGCTATGTGTGAGAAAAAGTCTGAAGGATATATACCAAATTGTTCAAGTAGTTTGTTATAAGAGACTTGTTTACTTTCTCTGAGGGGTTTTAATTTCTTTTATTATCCTATAGCCAAGGAAATTTTTCATTTTTAAAGACAGAAATGCAGCAAGAAGTTAGAAGAAAGAACACCTGAATCTGACTGAGGGAGTCAGGAAGGCATCACAGTGAAAAGAGGTGGTGTTTGAGCTGAGTCTTAAGGCGGGTTACAAGTACATCAGGCAGATGGTGAGGAGAGGACGGGCCAGGCAGACAAAAGAACATACTTAAAGACAGAGAAACACAGAAATGCATATATTCTTGGGAGAAGTGCAGAGAGTTGAGCACCCCACTGGGTAGGAGAAGATAAGCTAGTCAGGGCCCCATCATGGAGCTCTTTTTAGTTAGTCATCCCTAGCAGCTGGGCCTTGGAAGAGCAGTTTACTACAAGGGCCCTGGGGCCAGACTGCCTGCATTTTGAACCCCATCTCTGCCACTTGCTGTGTAAGTTGGGCAAACTATTTACTCTTTCTATTGCTCAGTGGAAATGATAATAGTACCTACTTCATAGAATAAATTAATCCATATGTGTAAAATACTTAGAAAAGTACATGACACATGAATCAGAAATAAATGTTAACTACTTTCTGCTGTTATCATCATCATCGTCGTCATCATCATTACTGTGGGAAATGAGCACCCACTGAAGAATTTTAAGCAGAAAACTGATATGCTCAGATGTGGGCCAGTAGGTAGATAACACTGTTTAAGACCCTAGAGACAGCGAGGTTGGCAAAAAGGCACTTACCCATGCATCACTAGGGTTTTCTATTTTGGAGAACTTTTGTGTTTCATGCTGTTGCATAAGATAAAGATATTTAAGTCAGTTTGGGTAGAGGCTCCAACTTAACCATGGGAAGTAGATAAGCAGGAGACGTCCCAAGGATATTTTCAATCATATAGAGTAGGGTCGGCAGACTATGCCTATGGCCCAAACCCAGCCGTGTGCCTGTTTTTGTAAATCAAGTATTTTTGGAACACAGCCACTTCATTCATTTATGTATTGTCTGTGACTGCTCTCATGCTGCAATGGCACGCTGAATATTTGTGACAGAGACTGTAAGGCCCACAAAGCCTTAAGTATTAACCGCTAGGCCCTTACAGAAAGTTTGCCAACCCCTGATACAGAGCTACCAGTTGGATATTTGAGGCTTCACCCAGGCTTTACTGTTATTTTCTCTGTTTATTTCATCTGTCATATTCTTAGTGTCTATCATGGGTAAAGCACTGGGAGATAGGAAGATGAGTAGATGTGATTGGCTACCAAGGGGCTTGCAGTCTAGTTGGATTATAGGTACACAAACACTCAAAGTGAGAAAAACATAGAGCAGGATGTGAGTAATGTTGTATAGGGAAGTTGAGTAAGTTTTCACAGGAAAGCAAACATTTGAACTGAGTTTGAAGGTGAATGAGTTTGGGTTTGCTTGGGTAGAAGAGCATGCTAGGCTGAGTGAACAGTGTGTGGGTAGGTAAAGTGTAAAAACATGGTGTATGTGGGGGGAGAGGGGGTAGTTTGGTGTGACTACAGCGCAGGGAAGGAAGGTTTAAGTTGTTACCAGATTGTGTGAAATGTCTTCTGTGCCAGGTTGAGATGTTTATACCTGGGTGCAGTGGGGAGCCCATCAAGTTTTTAGCAGAGACATTGGAGGTGGGTTTCTATGTGTTGTTATTAAATCACATCTCTTTCCCCTTTCTGTTCAGTAGCAATTGAGAAATAGACCTGAGAGTTGAATACGGATTAAAGTATCAGTTGTTGTGTTGGTAAAGCTAGACTAGAAAGCATGGTTTGGACCAGTAACCATAGAAGCTCTCTAATACCTGTCCCCTGAGTTGGATCTTGGGGTAGAGGGATTGGGTCTGTAGGGCAACACTTCCCCAGCCATCCATATGGAGATTCAGAGACCATAGACTAATATCTATTGAACACAGAGAGATGGGTTTCTAGAGCTGCTCTTAGAAACTAGGCTTTACTGCCCCAGCTATGTCCCAGGAGGCCAGCCGTGAGAAGAAGAGGCACCAGCTTATGTGCTGGACTCTTGGGGGAGACGGAGCCCAGAAGGGTCTGATATGTGTGTGTACCGAGCCCTCCTGCCAATCTCACCAGTCAGATGAGTCAGTCCCCCTGTGGCAAGAATAAATAGGATGGGGGCCACCTTTCCAAAACTTCCAAGATAAGTTTATAGTCTGTCAGCTTGGATAGGGACCTTGAGAAAGAGAGTGGTTACCTCTAAAACTGGCATGTTCAGATCTTTTTTTGGAGACTTCTGAAGTAGTGTAGGGAATGGATTGGAAGCGAGGGAGATTAGAGGCAAACAGATCAGCTTTTGGAGCCTGAACTGAGCCATTGGCAATTGAGATGAATGTAAGAGACTACAGAGGATAGAGCCAGGAGGATTTGGTGACTCAAATGAAAAGAAGAAATTAAAGACGACTGAGGATTTCTAGCTTTGAAAACTGGCTGTTTAGTGTCTTTTCTGGATTCTCTTCTGTTCCATTGAGCAATATTTCTAGCCTATGTCAGCACTGACCCTGTCTTAATCACCACAACTTTTATATGGTCTCTTTTGTCAGAAGATGTCCTATTACTTTTCTTTGACAAAACTTACCGTTTTAAAATTTCACATGCTATTTGACTCTTTCAAGTACTCCCCCCACCATAATATCTTTTGATATGGAATTTTATCCCTGGAGCAGGATGGTTTTTATTATCCCACAGAAATGTTTTGAGCACCATAGTTAATTAAACATCCAACATCTGCTGTCATAAATTATTCTGGTGTTTGAATGAGAACGTCTTGAAGGCAAGGACCATGTCTTAGCTCAACATGTGGCCTCCTAGTGTAGTGCCTAGTCTCCATAGAGTGAGTTTCTAATCTGACCTATAGGTAAAAAGCCCACAATACAGGTAAAACTATGTGAGAGCTTCCTTGGCCTATAACGGACAGTACCTGGAGAGCACCGGCTGCTGCTTCATTGACAGTTACAATGCCTGGCACTGCTGCCTTCCCCTCTTGATGGTAGCAGCATCTCAAGCCAAACAGAAAGGGCAGGTGGGGTGAGATGAAGACTGGACAGAGGTGTTAGTTTCTCACTATATTTCATGTGTTCACTTGTGTGTTAACTCTATTTTTGGCAGCAAGGGGGCCAGGCCAACCACCCCACAGCTGCAGTGGTAACGGAGAAGCAGCAGATGCTAGAGCAGCACCTACAGGATGTTCGGAAGAGGGTACAGGTGAGGCCAGCCTGAGGAAGGAAGCATTTTGTTGGGAATAGTGTGTGTGGGTCCTGCGTGTGTCTTTTTTGAAGTTTTGGCTTCATTTAATTCTTCTCAGAAACTTTTTTTCCCCTCTCCCCAGGGAAATCTTTTTTACTTCTAGTTTTTTGTTTTAAACAGGATCTAGAACAGAAAATGAAAGTGGTAGAGAACCTCCAGGATGACTTTGATTTCAACTATAAAACCCTCAAGAGTCAAGGAGGCAAGTCAATATTAGAGACCTTAAAATCTTCTGTAGAAAGTGAGTTTGTGTTACTTGAGTTTAAAGACTTGTTTGTCTTGCTGTGTGTTCAGACTTCAGAGGGGGCAAGGGCTACTGGTGCTTCAGGAAGTCTAGTTGTTACAGATAGGAGTATTCCCTCAAGTCAAGGAGCTTTCCCTTCCTTCACAGACATGCAAGATCTGAATGGAAACAACCAGTCAGTGACCAGGCAGAAGATGCAGCAGCTTGAACAGATGCTTACGGCGCTGGACCAGATGCGAAGAGTAAGATCACTGGGCATGTTGTCCTGCATGTTGCGCTTACCTGTGGGTATTGGCATCTCGTGACAGCATTTGCCTGGTTTCTATTAAGTTCCTTCTTTGGAACTGACTAAAGAATGTGGTTAGAGACCATCTAAGGAAATGTCTTCTGACTTTGTTTTCGTTTCTACCCAGAGCATTGTGAGTGAGTTGGCAGGGCTTTTGTCAGCAATGGAGTACGTGCAGAAAACTCTCACGGATGAAGAGCTGGCTGACTGGAAGAGGAGGCAACAGATTGCTTGCATTGGAGGCCCTCCCAACATCTGCTTAGATCGTCTAGAAAACTGGTAAAAGATGAAGCAGAAGCTTTTTTTTTTTTCCTTTCCTTCTAGAAAGCTGAGCTAAAATATGGTCATAACTGCAGGCTGAAAAAGTTGGTACTGTATCTCAAAGGTGGGGACTTTTACATTCTCAAATTTAATCTAAGAGTTACAGCTCTTAGTTTATTTGGACAAAGTTTTTATATAAAAATGTATATTACTGTTTTAAGTATATTTTATTTAATGATTTAAATAAAGTTTTTGTGGTTTAACTGTATTTAACACAGACTATTTTTTTTTAATTACCTAAAATGATACCTGAACTTTGTAAAGGAAAAAGGTTCAAATACAGAAAGTTAATAAGAAAGGAAAAGCCTTTTAAAATCTAGTCATTCAGAGCTACATACAGTAAAAATTTTGATGACCATCATTCTCGATATCTATCATTATATATAAAGTTATGACTCTGTACTTCTTTACATCAGTGTAACATTTTTTTTAGTTTTATTTATTTTGTTGTTGTTGAGAATATACACAGCAAAACATACACTAATTCAGCAGTTCCTACATGTCCAATTCAGTGACATTGATTACGTTCTTCAAGTTGCGCAACCACTTGTTGTTTCTCCTCCATTAGCATAAACTCACTGCCCCCTAAGGTTCCTATCTACTCTTTTGAGTTGCTGTTGTCAGTTGATCCCATATAGATAGTTCTTTAAAGAACATAATGCTCAAAGCAGACATTTTTTATTAGTTAAGCTAAACTATTGTTTGGTTTTAAGACTTCTGGGGATGTTTTTGGTTTAAGGTTTAAAGATTATCTCGGGGCAGTAGTTTCAGGGGTTCATCCAGCCTACATGGCTCCAGAAAGTCTGGAGTCCATGAGAATTTGAAATTCTGTTCTGCATTTTCCTCCTTTTGACCAGGATTCTTCTATAGAATCTTTTATCAAAATGTTCAGTAATGGTAGCCGGGCATCATCCAGTTCTGGGCTCATGGCAAAGTAGGCAGCTGTTCATGGAGGCAATTAGCCACATGTTCCATATCCTCCGGTTTCTGACTCTCCTCCTTCCTCTGTTGATCCAGGTGAATAGAGACCAGTTGTTGTGCCTTGGATGGCTGCTTGCAGGCTTTTGAGAACCCAGGCACTATGCAATGAACTAGCAGGTAGAACAGAAGCACTAAGCACATTATTAGGCCAATTAACTGGGATGTCCCATGAAACCATAACCCTAAACCTCCAAACCAAGGAACCAAGTCCTATGAGGTTTTTGGTTGTACCTAACAATTTTTTTTAATGCTCTTCTATGATCTACTCATTATGTAATCTATCATTAATCAGCAAATCTTTATTGAGCACCCTTGATGTATCTATTGCACCAACTTAAACTAGAAAAAATCTGGCATGAAGGGGAACCCAGGTACATGGAGCATGAACTTGGAAATTTAGGTCATCTTTACATGAGAATGCCTGTTTGTTCATATCCTCAGTAATTCTAAGCTTTATCAATTTACTGAAAACATTTTAAAATGTCTTCTGATGAGGAAATACAAAAAGCTTAAGTTCTGGGAATGGGAGGACGTAAGTGCCAGAAGGGAGGCAGGGAACTCAGAAATCCCTGCAGTTATCCTCTTCTCCCACTCCTTTCACCTCCTGTCTTTGAGGTCTTTTAGTCTTAAACTAGTGGTAGGTAGGCCATCAGAGAGAGACGCTAGTATTCTCTCTTCTTGGGAATAGACTGAATCAGTCTTTGTCTCCCTGTCTGTCTACTTTTTCTATACGCATGTTATAAATATTTTGGAAAATAATTTCATGTACATTGAAGATTGCCATTGAAAGGGCTCATGGGGATCATGCAATTCAACCCCTTCGCTTCATGCAAGGAGACGCTTAGGCCCACGATGGTGAAGGGACCTGGCCAAACTTGCACAGATAGTGAGTAGCAGAGCTGGCTCAAACCCAAGTCTTTCAGGCTGTCTGATCTCCTGTGTTAACCCAGTCCTTACGTTTGATTCATAGACAAGTTGGGATGAAGAAGTTGAATGCTGAACTCCACATTTCATGTTTTCCATATCTAGGTTCCAGTGCTTGTCACTTTTCAATGATATTCCAATGATAACTCCATTCATACCTCCTAGTGGTAGAAGTTTTGACATTTCCTTTCTGCCTAGCCTCCTCTTAGAAATATAAATTTTAGGGGGGGCCTGTAAAAAAGGCAATATAGATTCCCCTTTCTTATGTTAAAGGACTGTTCAGTGGTATTTATACGTATAGTATTCCCTTCTCCTTTTCCAGCTCACCTGGTACACTTACTCAGGTAACTGGTAACTTTTATTTTATTGGCAGGATAACCTCATTAGCAGAATCTCAACTTCAGACCCGCCAGCAAATTAAGAAACTGGAAGAGTTGCAGCAAAAAGTTTCCTACAAAGGGGACCCCATAGTACAGCACCGGCCAATGCTGGAGGAGAGAATTGTAGAGCTGTTTAGAAACTTAATGAAAAGGTAGTTTAGAATCCTTGTCCTTTTCCCTATCCCTCCCCACCCCCAGAAAAAAAAAATCAGTCCTTAAATGAGAGACTGACTCTGTTCAGAGAACAGGACAAAGACTGTTCTTCGTCAGTAGTGTGTGAACTGCTGTCCTTCTCGTTCCCTTTCAGTGCCTTTGTGGTTGAGCGGCAGCCCTGCATGCCCATGCATCCTGACCGGCCCTTGGTCATCAAGACCGGTGTCCAGTTTACTACTAAAGTCAGGTGAGTGACTGCACTACACTTTTGGTAGGTATTTTATTGAAGAACACTCTTAGGGCAGGGGCAGAGTTGGTGGCATCACAGGCGGTACTATTGTGGGCATGGCATTTGTTGACATAACAACATTTGATTCTGATGTCAAAAGCTAAAGAATGGTAATCTTTTCGAGGTTACCTGGGCATATGTCTGTGATTCTTGATCTAGAGTCTTAAGCCATAGCTGCTTCTCCTGCCCTCCAAAAGGGGCAAAATAAAGTTGGTTACTTTCTGTTCATTGAACCTACTTTTCTCTGAGGATTTGAAGGGAAAGAGTAAGGTTTCTTCATCTAGAACCTACGAGGCCACAAGGCAAGTGGGTGGTGGGCCTGTAGGGTGGAGTGTTACTTTCACACTCACGTCAGAACAGGTATCTGGGGTTTTGTCCTACTGCGGTGAAGTTTCCGTCTTCAGAAACATCATCGTATAATGTTGGGTTTAGGTTTAATAGAATGGCAGCTGCAGAGCTCGTATTCCTATAATATTTTTCATGAAATTGCTCTTATTAACTTTTTGTGAATCTGTCACAACTTTGTCCAAGTTCTCAGTTCTTGGGCTTTTTTTTCAGTACCTTTTGGCCTGAAGGAGGTGATGCTCAATTTTAAGATCAAAGATGGCACTGGCTGGAGGAGGAATTTGGGATTGCGGTTTATTCACCTCTTAGAAATAAAATCATGCATTTTTAATGTCTTCTGTTATAAGTTGCTGGGGGAGCCTACCGCCTTATTTTTTAACTGGATGTATATTTTTTTCTTAGAAACTTTTTTCTTCTTTTTTTGCAACAGGTTGTTGGTCAAGTTCCCTGAGTTAAATTATCAGCTTAAAATTAAAGTGTGCATTGACAAGTAAGTACTCCTATCTTTGCTTTCTTTTTTTTATTCAAATAAGGGACAGAGAAATGAGAACTTTGACAGATATCATTTGAATTAAGAGACTTTATCTCCATTCAGAGAGCTTCATTATGTGAACAAAGCTTTTCAAAAGCTGTGCGTTTTTATTTACATGCCTGAATAAAACCACAAACCGGTCCTACAGGTTTGAGTTGAGGTTGCTATTGTGACCTGCAGTACTTCTTTTTCTTTATTTAGTTTTTTACTTGTAATTTACGCACCTTATATAAAACTGAGAATGTATGGAAAAGGTGATGATTTTTTTTCCCTATACCTCACTATCTACAAGTCCATCAGAGTTACCATTTTTAATCCTATTTTCTTAATTGATATGCATACTTTTTGCTACCTTTTATAGGTTGGGTTTGCTAGGTTAGAGCTTTAGAAGCCATTTATTTTTTCCAAGGCACAGTGCTTGCAATTTGGTAAACTGCCACCAAAGTATTTCCTGGTGACTCCTGGTTATGACACATTCTATTTGGTCCCACTTTCCATTGACTATCAATAATATAGTTAAAACTTAAATAGTGCAGATTCCCATAAACCTGTGAGTACTGACATTTGATTTTTGTTGTTGTGAGTTATAATTTTTTTTTTTTTTGGTGGTGGTGTTTAATTAGGTTATTTTTTTCATAACTTTACAGCTATAATTTTAATATTAACTATTTACTATAATTATTAAATACATACCCAGGTATAGTTTAGTCCTTTCTCCTTTTGACTAGCATTTCTATTTTTTATTTTATCTAAGGAAATAAACTGATAGTTTTGCAATTATATGTTCACATAGTATTGTTTATACTACCAAAAATGATGATGCAAAAGGAATTAGATAAATTACGCTACAGCCATGTGATGGAATATTATATAGCCATTTAAAATTATGATACATGTATATATTTAGTGGCATGGAAAAGTACTCATGGTAAATATCAAGTTGGAAAAATCAGGTTATAACTCAGCTTGATCTATTTTTATTAAAAATTAAAATGAAAATTATAGTCATGTGTGAAGAGTCATAGAGAAAAGAGGCTCGTAGTCTATGTATTAAGATATTAACATTGATTATCTCTGGGAGTGAGATTATGGGGAAAATGGGTATGCTTTTGTTATGTATCCTTTTTTCTGACTTTTTAATAGTGTACATATGTTAATTTTAAGATCAAAATTTAAAGAATAGATTATAGTTAAAAACAAAGAAAATTGTTATTAGCTTAATAACTGTGATTGCACTTTAGAAAACTAAAACATCTCAAGAGACTTTAAAATCAGTCTTTACTAGATCATTCACATGAGACTTTAGGAGTTCAAATGAACTGGTAGTGAAGTTTTTGTTTTTTTTTTTTAACTTTTTATTGAAATATAGCATACATACAAGTCAAATTTTATGGCTGTTGTTCTCTTGCCCTTAATCTGTTCTCTGTACCAGTTAATGTTCTTTTCATTACTCCTGCTGTTTAAGATCTTAAGGCCTCATTTTCCCTTCTCCTACCATTGTTGCTCTTCAGTTGAAAGGAGAGGCAGAAAAAAGGAGAAAATGCCTGGATAGCCTGCAATAGTTTCTTGATAGATTTCTAAATTCTCTGCTGTACAGGTTTTTCCTGTTTTGGGGGACAGCTTCCTAATATTAAGGAGCCATTTAGTTTCCTAGTTCTGTTAAGGCAACTTATTTTTTAATTTACCAGACCCATGTTTTGTCCCTCTGAATATTTTCAGGCACATTTAAAGCATAATTTGTCAGCATCAAAAGAATCCAAGTACTTGAAAATATGAAGGGGGGAAAAGAAACAACTTAAATATCTTCAGTCATGGTAGACAAATAATGTAGTTGTAGGCAATTTTGAAAATAATGACTGATAAAATTGCCTGTCAATATATATGGGAAATGGCCAAAGCTATACTTAGAGGAAAATTAATAGTCCTAAATGCTTTAATATTGAACAACAGGAAAAAAAAAAGTAAATGAATAAATATTCATTTGAAGAATCTAGAAAAGCAAAATAAACCTAAGGAAAGTGGGAAGAAGGAGCTTGTAAAGATCCAAATATAGGTGAATTATAAAACATAAAAATAGTGTCTTTGTCTTACATTTAAATTCTAAAATTGATAAATCTTGAAACTTAGTGAAATAGACCTTGAGTGAGAGTAATGACGAAAACAAATACAAATATGCAAAATTATAATGAAGAGGTATAAGCAGATATAGGATAGATGAAGAAAATTGTAAGAATACTGTATAGGAACTTGTAAATCTTGATGAAATGGATTTTTTTTTAGAAAAACAAATTTTCTAAAATTGCCCAAAGAAGAGTGTTTAGGAAGAGGTGGATTGCTTCCATATTCATTCTATAAGACTACCGTTACATATGGACATTTTACACATACAGCCAAGTTAAAAAAAAAAGGCTAATCTCACTTATGAATATGTATGTAAAGGTCCTAAGTAAGAGATTTGCAGCTTAAATACTAAAAAACAATAAACCACAACCAAATAGAGTTTATTTCTAGAATGGAAGTCTAGTTTAATGTTAGAAAATCTATTGACATATCTCAGTACAGTAGGAACACTACATAGCATCATAGTCCATGTAATTCATGATTTTTATATAGTCACCACACATTCTTAATGAAAAACTCTTAAACAAGAATAGAAGAAAATTTCTTTAACTTGATTAAAGGCATCTATCAGAAGTAAATTGTAAACATATTTTATGTTGGAACACCAGAGGCTTCCCATTAAAACTGGGAATAAGACTTCAGCTATTCAACAGTGTTCTGGAGGTTCCAGCCAGAAATATGGAAGAAAGATAACCAACTGTGCTCTGCAAAGAATTACAACCGTCTATCTAGAACAATCTAAGAGGTGAAAAAATGATTTAAATTTATAAGAGAATTTGAAAAGATGACTGGAATACAAGGTAAACAAAAATCAATACTTACATAATAAGAAAACAATTTTAAAATATATTTTAAAAGACCTTATTCACAGTTGCAGCAAAATCTATAAAGTAAGCAGAAATAAACCTAGTAAGAACTGTGCAAGGTCTGTGTACATGAACATCCATTAACAGGTGAATGGATAAACAATTTGTGGTATAGTCATACAATGGGATACTAACCAAATCAAACCTATTGCCATCAAGTCGGTTCCAACTCATAGCGACCCTATAAGACAGAATAGAACTGCCCCATAGGGTTTCCATGGCTGTGATCTTTACGGAAGCAGACTGCCACATCTTTTTCCTCCGGAGCGGCTGGTGGGTTTGAACCGCTGACCTTTCAGTTAGCAGCTGAGCACTTAACCACTGGGCAACCAGGACTCCTAATGGAATACTACTCAACAACAAAAGGAATAGGCTGTTGATGAATATCAAGATAATTATGCTGAGTAAATGAAGCCAGACCAAAAAAGAGTACATACTTTATGTTTCTATTTATATAAAATTCTAGAAATGCATGTGACTCTGTAGTGACAGAAGGCAGATGAGGGGTTGCCTGGGGTATGGGATTGAGGGATGAATTATGACTAAGCATGAAGAAGCTTTTGGGGGTGATGGATATGTTCATCTTCTTGAGTGTGCTCATGGTTTCACAGGTGTGTATAGTATATATATATAAATCTCAAACCTTATCAAATTTTACATTTTAAATATGTGCAGTTTATAGTTCATCACTTATACCTCAAAGATTTCATGTAAAAAGAATGTAAAAGAAAAAGGGAAATATTGGTTAGACATGGGGGAAGACTTTCCAATAACAGGACTATTATTAAAATGTGATATATGGAAAGATGTCTTCTGAATGACTTAAAAATTGATCATTTTTAATCTGTAAACACACTGGCATGCACTATTTAATAAATAATAGTTATTATTACTTTGGAAACCCTGGCTGGCGCAAATGGTTAAGCACTCAACCACTAGCCAGAAGACTGGCCGTTCGAACCCACCTAGAGGCGCCTTAGAAGACAGGTCTGGTAATCTGCTTCCAAAAGGTCACAGCCTCGAAAACTCTGTGGACCACAGTTCAATTCTGACATACATGGGGTCGCCATGAATTGGAATCTACTCAACAACAATAACATTATTAATTTTAAAAGCATGGAAGAATACATAACTGTGGAGAACTTTTTAAACATCACTCAACACAGTAAAAAAAAAGTAAAGGGAAACATTCAGAAGTGTGACTATATAAAAAAACATGTATTCAAAAACATAAAGGTAAAAGAGAGTTAGCAAACTTGGCAAACTCTTCCCAGCTGTATTAAATGGGATGTCTGAGTTACAGGTAATAGTACACCTTTGCAGAAAACCCAGTGTGGCTTAAATAATAAGGAAATTAACAGCTCAGTGTAACTGGAAATGCAGAGTTAAGACAGATTCTCCAAGGTGAGAACAGTGACTCATTGATGTCATCAAGGACCCAGGATATTCTCTCTTCTCTGCCATCCTCAGTATAGACTGCATTCTAAGTTCTCTTCTGTGTTGAAACACAATTGCTCCTAGCAGTTAAGGCCACATACTTCTGGCTTGTGTTCAGCTGAAGATACAAACAGCAATTCAGCCTATAATATAATTCCTTCTTTTCAGTCTGATTGAGACAATGTAGGTCATGTCCTCACTCCTGGACCATTGGGCTGTGGGTGACGGAGCTGGGGCTGGGGAGGACACTGAGCAGAATCACAGTTCTATTAGGAAGGGGTGAAGTAGATGTTGGGTAGGCAGCCAACTGTGTCCACTGCATACACATGTACAGGGTTGTGATATTTCACATATAGAATGTAATTGACTCATGTAAAGAAATTCCCAGGAGCATAGTAGTTTTTTCACCAGAGTTAAAAACAGGTGGTCAAAGTAGGCTTTCTGAAGAAACACAGGCCTGTTTTATTAAAAACTGTTTGTGTTCTTAACAGAGACTCTGGGGATGTTGCTGCTCTCAGAGGGTGAGTTCAGCCTAGAGGCTTTCTTTTGTTCTGTTTAATCCAACTTTATCCTCTGGCCACTCATTCACCTACGTGTTTGGTTCTTCTCCTGTGATTCAGATCCCGGAAATTCAACATTCTGGGCACAAACACGAAAGTGATGAACATGGAAGAATCCAACAACGGCAGCCTCTCTGCAGAATTCAAGCACTTGGTACGTGGGAGAAGTCCACCTCCCCTTCACAAAGGGCACCTGGCAGTGTGAGAGGCTAGGAGAGAGCCTTTCTGACGGATGTGCTTTTTGCTTTTCTTGCAGACCCTGAGGGAGCAAAGATGTGGCAATGGGGGCCGAGCAAACTGCGATGTAAGTTTTGTTAGGGATGACAGCCACCCGAGAGGGCTGTCTTCGAGGTAGAGAGAAGAGTGAGCCTCCTTATTGCCCAGAATTAGGGACATCAACCTGCGATTTCAGCTGTGGTGATTCGGAAAAATGACTGTGGGCCAAGTGACACGATCAAAAGTCACCAATGCCATGGGATTCTTTGGCTCACAGCATTTCCTTGACTGTCCCAGGAGTTAGGTCATCGTGGAGCATAAGTGGAAGGTCCTTGCTGGGTAGTTATCCACACCCATCTGGTAGAAAAGCTTTCCACCTTGCCTGGGGCTTTCCAAATTCCCATTCTAATTTCTGCCAGTCAGCTGAATTGCTCCTTTTTTGGTGACATGTTTTCCTTGCTGAGGTGGGATAAACCGTGTAAAAGTTAACAAATCTGAGTTAAACATTAAAGGAACAAAACCTTATCTTGGTTTTTTTTTTTTTTTTTAATTGTGCTTTAGGTGAAGACTTACAGAGTAAATTAGTTTATCACTGAACAATTAATACATATTGTTCTGTAACCCTGGTTGCCAGCCCCACGATGTGTCAGCACTTTCCCCTTCTTGACCTTGGGTTCCCCATTTCCGTTTGTCCAGCTTTGCTGTCCCCTCCTGCCTTCTCGTCCTTGCCTCTGGACGGCTGTGCCCCTTTAGTCTCGTATATATGGTTGAGCCACGTGTACTCTTCTTGTTCTTTATTCCTCTCATTTCTTCTTTGTCTCCCATTGGTTCCGGTATTGGATCCTTAGTGTCAGGAAAAAACTTTTTTATTTATTTAGGTAAATGTGAGCAAGAACTAGTTTTCAGTCTTGTAAAAAAATTGTGACACACTGTTCTTTTTCTGATGTTTGTGTACTTTCTATCTCTTGAGCCCATCTTTCCTCTCCTGTAATGTGTAGTAGCAGGCCTGAAAAAAAGAATTGAATTGAATTAGAACAATATAATATTTGACAGCAATTAAGGAGTGAGGTAGTTTATATGCAACAATATTTAAAAAATGTACTTGTCATATCTGTTTAGGAAAAGGCAATATGCAAAATAATTTGAGTAGGATGTTAATATTTTTGTTTTAAAAAGACACCACAGACTGTTTTATGTTTATTCACGTATGCATTAAGAAATTCTGAAGAAATATGCACCATCAAACGGCGCTTATGTATTTGTGCTGTTGTTAGTATCCAGAGCTACTCTAAACTATCTCTGTAATATTTGCATTTTAAATTGAACATGTATTACTTTTCTAATCAGAAAAGAAGTACTTTAAAAATGAATTGGAATTCTGTTTCTGAGAATTAATTGGTAACTCCTGTTCAAAATAAGATTGCTATGGTGCTGGTGGGAGTTTAAATTGTTACAGTCACCTTGAAATTTGGCATTATAAAAATGAACATGCCCTATAACCCAGCAGTGCCACTCTCAGGACTTTGCAGTAGAAAAACCTTTACACATGTGCACCAGAAGACATGTACGAAGTGTTCACAGCAGCCTGCTTATAAGCCCTGAATACAACCGAATAAATACCCATAAACACTGAAGTGGGTAAATGATTTGTGATATAGTCATATGGTGGAATACTCTACAGCTATGAAAATGAGTAAATTGTGGATAACCACATGGATGCATTTCATACTGAGTGAAAATTAAGTTACAGAAGAATACAGAGTCTTGATTCCATACATATAAGGTTCACAGACATCCTAAACTGAGTAATACATACACTTAGAGATACAAATGTGGTAAAACTATAAAGAAAAGCTAGGAGATGATAAACCCAGAAGATAAAATGGTGGTTACTTCTGAGGGAGGAGGGGAAGGGATAGGGTTGGGAAAGGGCACACAGTCTTAAACGGGGTGGTGGATACGCAGGTATTCATTGTTTTGGTACTTTATAAGTAATCTATTGGCTCTATTTGATATTTTAATAGAAAATGAGTAAAAGATCAGATTGAGGATCAGAGCATTGGAGAGTGTTAGTATTGAAGAGGTCATGTGCTCAGGTGTGTTGTTGATGGAATTTCCATGGCAGCCAGGTAGATTCCCTTCTTAGTGTAGTAAGGCTGTGGCAAGTCACTTTCCTTGGCTGCGCTGTTAGTACCAAATGCTATTCTCTGAGTAAGAGAATGTCCCTTTTGTTATCATAGGCCTCCCTGATTGTGACTGAGGAGCTGCACCTGATCACTTTTGAGACAGAGGTATATCACCAAGGCCTCAAAATAGACCTGGAGGTGAGTTCTGCAGCAGAACTGGGGGTGGGGCAATGTGTAGGGGTGATTCTGGACAAGAACTTTTAGTTGGAATTGTTACTAGTGAAGGTGGAGTGATCACTCTTTGCTAAGTAAACATTGTATTCTTTGGCCCTTTCTCCAAAATGTCCTGGCATCCCAGCTGAGAATAAAGTCTTCTTGAGTGCTTAGAAAGTACATTACATGTACATTCAACTTTAAGCAAACTTGATATGAAAATCTGTATTTAGAAATTGATTATGGGTGACTGTATGAAATTTCAGCAAAATAGCCTTTAAACAGCTAGTGTTTTTAGTATACAGAAAATCATGGCATTTAAATCTCTTTTCCCAACTTTCTTGACCTTTAACATAGACCTGAAAAAGCAGGAATACTACTCTTTGATTTCTGAGACCTCTCTGTTTAATGGGAAGGTAGAGCTTCAATTCTTGGAGAATGTCTTCTAGGTTTTATAAATGGGAATCCCAAGGATTCTGGGTCAAGCTTTCAGCGAGTCAAGAGTTTACAATGATTGCGTTTGGACATCAACCCAAGTCCCAGAGGTCTCCCTTGGGAATTCTTTCTACTCTAGAGTGTCAAACTGACACTCCTCTCCTAGAGTTGGCAATAGTATAGTTTATGGCATGTCCTTTTAGTCCCCCTGTGAGATACGTTTGGAGATATTTTGGAAGCTCTGAGGACCCCTCTGCCTCCCCAGCTCATTCTCCACTTACTCCACAGACTCACTCCTTGCCTGTTGTGGTGATCTCCAATATTTGTCAGATGCCAAATGCCTGGGCTTCCATCCTGTGGTATAACATGCTGACCAACAACCCCAAGGTTAGTGTCCTATCCTCTTGAAAACTGTGCCTTCTTGAAAACGTCTCATCCCTAGAGGTTATTGTGGTACCTAGTGTGGGCCGTTAAGTACCGTCCTCTCATCTCAATTAGCAAATGTGTTTTCCTTTTTCAATAGAACGTGAACTTTTTCACCAAGCCCCCAATTGGAACCTGGGATCAAGTGGCCGAGGTGCTGAGCTGGCAGTTCTCCTCCACCACAAAGCGAGGGCTGAGCATTGAGCAATTGACTACACTGGCGGAGAAGCTCTTGGGTCAGCATTTTATTTCTTCTCCCTCCTGTCCTCCTCACAGAAGGAACCGGGCCCATGGGACTATTCATTCAGTAAATATTTACTGAGCATCTACCTTGAGCAAGGAAGTGTGCATCTAGTGACCCTTTTTATGAGGTGGGAGGCAGATTTCTTTTCTCCTAGTGGCTGTCTCCCTCACCCTGCCAGGGTACTACTTATCTAACCTTAGGAGGGTATTTTAAGTGCATGTTAGAAGGTGAAGCTAAAGGCTTGACGTTCTCTGTCTGCGTTTTCAATAAGCCATAGGCTTATTTTTAAAACTTTTTTCTCAAAAAAAATTTTAGTAGAATATTTTTTTTATTGTCGTAGTAGTTTAAGTGAAAGTTTACCATTCTAGTTAGTCTCTCATACACAAATTTATACATACCTTGTTATGTGACCCTAATTGCTCTCCCTATACTGTGACAGCACACTCCTCCTTTCCACCCCTGATTTCCCGTGTCCGTTCAACCAGCTCCTGACCCTCTCTGCCTTCTCATATCACCTCCAGACAGAAGCTGCCTGTTTAGTCTCGTGTATCTACTTGAGCACACTTCACGAGTATCATTTTATGTCCCATAGTCCAGTCTAATCTTTGTCTGAAGAGTTGGCCTCGGGAATGGTTTTAGTTAGTAGAATATTTTATTTGCTACCTAGACTACAAGTAAATGTGTCCTGTGCTGCCAACAAATGTGACCTCTAACAGCAGATGGTTAGTGTGCGCTGCTGGTCCCAAGACTACTGCATGAAGCTGGGAGGAGCAGGGGGATTTGATGCGTCATCCACCATGTTTGCTGGGCAAAGCAACTCAAGAGGGTCCCAGTGATGGGGTTGAGGATATGTGAGTGTGTGTGCGCGTGCACGTGCGTGCTTCATGGTAACAATCCTCAACTAAATGAAAACCATTGGTTTCATGGCCCAGAGTGGGATGAATGTGTGTGTCCTAAGAAGATCTTGACTCAAAGATGAAAATTACACTACTTTATCCTTTTTTTTCCCTTTAGGACCTGGTGTAAACTACTCAGGGTGTCAGATCACGTGGGCTAAATTTTGCAAAGTAAGTGATTTTATTAAATCCATGTGGCCATCTCTTGGGAGGGGGAGAGAGTGCTCACCTGCTAGGTTACTGTGGAGGCCGCTGGTCCTGAAGGCCCTGAATTCTCGGTCTCGTGGCTAGTAGGCCCTGCTCGAGGGGAAGAGAGCCTGAGCTATAGCCACTTGAGGATTTGGGTGATGCACTGTGCTCCTAGGAAAGAAAAGGCTGAGGGGCATGGTGGGAGACTTAGCTTTCCCATTATTCTTCTTTCCAGGAAAACATGGCTGGCAAGGGTTTCTCCTTCTGGGTCTGGCTGGACAATATCATTGACCTTGTGAAAAAGTACATCCTGGCCCTTTGGAATGAAGGGTAGGTTGAAACTCCTGTCTGGTAGAGAGTGTATTTGAGTAACCAAGTCATCTGCTCTCAGCAGGGCAGTCGCAGGGGATCCAAACGTTGTTGCTTCTCTCTGGCTCCAGGTACATAATGGGCTTCATCAGTAAGGAGCGGGAGCGGGCCATCTTGAGCACCAAGCCCCCAGGCACCTTCCTGCTAAGATTCAGTGAAAGCAGCAAAGAAGGAGGAATCACCTTCACTTGGGTGGAGAAGGACATCAGCGGTAAGCTGGGCCCTCACCCACCCCACCTGGTGGCTGTAGCTGCGGTTGTGGTGGCTGCTGCTAGTTTTGAGCACCCACTGCCCCCTAGTGGACACAGATGGACTCTGACTCTCCTACCTCAGATTTGTAAAACATTTGGGAGATTTTTTCTTGTTTCTACAATTTCTTCCAGCTGAAGGATTTGCTTGCCAATTTTGTTTTGCTTGCTTCGGTGGCTAAGAGTTACCTATAAATTGTCTATTTAAAATTTATTCTTTGTCCGTTTTTTTCCCTACCCTGTTAATATATCTTATACAAATAGTTATTCAAGTTTATTGCCTGTGAACCAATTGGGTAGCCTCTCCAAAAGCCAGCCTGCACGTATCCACAGTGCCAAGCCACTGGGTAGGATACTCAGGGTCTCAGGTTCTGGGTTGGCGTAAGTCGTTCCTCCTAGAGGTAATGTTTTCTCTGAGATTATCTAGCCATAGGCGCCATTATCTTCCCACCCCTCTCCTACAACAGGTAAGACCCAGATCCAGTCCGTGGAACCATATACCAAACAGCAGCTGAACAACATGTCATTTGCTGAAATCATCATGGGCTATAAGATCATGGATGCCACCAACATCCTGGTGTCTCCGCTGGTCTATCTCTACCCTGACATTCCTAAAGAGGAAGCGTTTGGAAAGTATTGTCGACCAGAGAGCCAGGAGCACCCTGAAGCTGACCCAGGTAGTCGTTGATTTTCCACATTTTAGGCATTTAATTCTGGGGAAAACAGGAAATTGCAGAATCCTTAGAGGAGAGCTAGGTATTGTCTGAATAGCCTGGGGGATCTTTATTCCTCTTTATGGGAAAGAACTTTGTAGTGAGTGTTTTTTTGGGTGGCTGACAGGATTAGAGAGAGGAGAGGACTCAGTCACCAGTCCCTGACCCAGAGGGAGCACGCCAGAGTAAAGGGGGAGAGAGCAGACACGCCTCCACTCAAAACATGCCTGAAACACTATGAAGAGAGTGAGGGCAGAGTTCTTTAGGAACAGGATGCCCAGAGGCACAGTGCTTCTTACATAGTAGATGCTAGAAGGTTTGAGACGCAAACCTCAGTCTAGCATGTTTCCTTTCCCCATTGCTAAACAGTGTAAGCAGTGTCAAGTGGGGTGAATAGAGGCTTTCTGGAGGAAATGATTAACAGCAGAGTGGGAGGAGAGTAGGTTTGAAGGGGAAGACAAAAACTGGTGGGAGTGGCATGCAGTTGGTATTTATAATGTGCAGCTACTGAGACGAAGATTGTTTTAATGTGCAGGAGCATATGTGTTTATAGAAATTACTTCACATTTAAACCTGTAATCTCTGGGGATGTCATCAGTGTGGAGGGGGCAGAGCTCCTGGTCTGTTCCCGTTCAGTGTTTGCTGCTTTGACTCTGAGTTCTCTGTCCAGATCCTGATGAGGAGTCTATGATTTGCTATTCTTTGTTTTTACTGATTGTAGAGTTATCTGTGGGCTCTTTAAAATGATCGTTTGGGGTTAGTTTTCTGCCCCAGTTGTTTTTTAAAAAACCGTCTTTGTACAAATAAAACACTCACACACCAACTTCCCTTCCACTTTTTTTTTAATTGTGCTGTAAGTGAAAGTTTACAATTCAAGTTAGTTTCTCATACAAAAATTTATACACACATTGTTATGTGACCCTAGTTGCTCTCCCTATACTGTGACAGCACTATATTTCTTTCCACCCCGGATTCCCCATGTCCATTCATCCAGCTCCTGACCCTCTCTGCCTTCTCATCTCGCGTCCGGACAGGAGCTGCCCATTTAGTCTCGTGTATCTACTTGAGCTAAGAAGCACATTCTTCATGAGTATCATTATATGTCCTATAGTCCAGTCTAATCTTTGTCTGAAAAGTTAACCTCAGGAATCGTTTTAGTTTTGGGTCCCTTCCACTTTTTCATAGAAATTCTCTCAGAAATTTCTTGGGGTGGGGAAGAGTGGGGCTTGGAAGAAGGAATTAGAGTGAATTGACAGTTGGTTTTCCTTTTTCCCTTTGTTCTGGTATTGAGTTGTGTTCATACTGCAGAAGGTTGAACTCTCACTTCCTGTCTGCTGCTTATCTGTCTTTCCATGTTGCACTTCAGTTGGGAGATCTGTTTATCAGCCCCTGTCGCACTACTCTTTGTTCCTTCTGCAGAAGACGTTCAGATCCAAGTTCTGGTCCTTTGACCAATGTTGCTTTCAGGATCCCACCTCCCAGTCTGAGGCTGTATCCTCCATTGCCTGGGGGTCACAGTCCTTTCCTGCCTGGAGGCAGGAGTGTCAGGGGCAGCATGCCAGTCATGAGAAAAGAACTCATGACCTGAGTGCTTTGCCTATGTTATGGATTGTCAAGTGTAAGGAGTGTGCACTAAGGGGCTCCTTGTGGGTGTGGCGATGGGGTCAGGGGATGGATATAGGGGTGGGGTGGGGTATGTGTGGAGACCCGGTATTACAATGGGAGTCCTCAGGGAGAGGGATCTGTGACTGTTTTCTCTCGACTTCCATTGTGATGGAGTACTGTTGTACAGGAGTCTCTTTCAGAGATGGATCACCTTCCTAGGATTCACAGCTCCTACCTCTTTACATCTCTACAGAAAGCCCACACAGTGTTTCCTTTTGGCTTGAGGGAGAGATTATGAGTCACTTATAAATTAGATAAATTACATTTACAACCTTGTATGGATTCATACATACATCAGCTTTTAGTCTTCATTCTCCTTTGCTTCTACTGTTCTCAGCCACCTTGATCACTAGGGAATTAAATCATTTTTTGTCTAAGGTGTCAGTCCTCTCAGGTTTGGGCCAAAGTGGTCGGATTTATAAGACACCAGAACCCTGCCTCAGTCGCTCCTTTGGATTCTGCACTGAATTAATCCATTTCTTGGCCGAAAGTAACCTCAGCTGGCAGTCTGAAGACCCCTTTATAATTCATTTTCTCAGATTCTCATTATACTTTCTTTCTTTTTTTTTTTTTAATTTGTGCTTTAGGTGAAAGTTTACAGAGCAAATTAGTTTCTCATTAAATAGTAAATACATATATTGTTTTGTGACATTGGTTGCCAACCCCACGATGTGTTAACACTCTCTCCTTCTCAGCCTAGGGTTTCCCATTTCCATTTGTCCAGCTTTCCTGTCCCTTCCTGCCTTCTTTGTTTTTGGGCTGGTGTGCCCACTTAGTCTCGTATACATGGTTGAACAACATGTGTTACTGTTTTATGGGACCGTCTAATCTTTGGCTGAAGGGTGAACTTCAAGAGTGACTTCAGTACCGAGTTAAAAGGGTGTTGGGGGGCCATACTCTTGGGGTTTCTCCAGTCTCTGTCAGACCAGTAAGTCTGGTCTTTTTCTGTGAGTTTGAATTTTGTTCTACATTTTTCTCCTGCTTGTCCAGGACCCTCTATTGTGATCCCTATCAGAGCAGTCGCTGGTGGTAGCTGGGCACCATCTAGTTGTGCTGGACTTAGTCTGGTGGAGGCTGTGGTAGTTGTGGTCCATTAGTCCTTTGGACTAATCTTTCCCTTGTGTCTTTGGTTTTCTTCATTCTCCCTTGCTCCAGACAGGGTGGGACCAGTGGAGTATCTTATATGGCCACTCACAAGCCTTTAAGACCACAGACACTACTCTTGGTAAAGTCTTTTGATGACCCTAAGTGTTTAATTTTTAGAAGATCCCAGTTATCTAGCTTATCTTCTGGTGTTTGTGTATTGTGTACTGTTGTGTTTGTATCCTATTTATGCTGTATATTAGGGCCCCTAGTGTTGACCCTGTTTTTTCTTCCATGATGTTTATAGGTTCTTGGTTTTATATTTAGATCTTTGATCCATTTTGAATTAGTTTTTGTGTATGGTGTGAGGGTCATTATTCTGTCTAATCCCTCGGGTTCTCTATCAACCACAAGCTTTATAACTGCTGCTCGGCCCATCCTGCCCCACACCATGCCTCCCAAGTGAGTGGTTCACCTGAATTCCCCAGATTTCACGCCATTGTCTCTAAGGTTCCTTGACTTCTGGATGTAAGCATTTAACATCTAAAATTCATTTACTCCAATCCTCACATTTCTAACTATAGAATAAGGATTTAAAAAGACAAGGATCATAGACAATTGGCGTCTCCCTCTTTACTCTCCCTTTTTTTTTTAATGCTTGAGAGAGAATGTGCCTTGTCCCAGGTTTCTTAGCTATTGAAGACATAACTGGGCCCAGGTCTCTTGTCTTTCAGTCCAGAGTTAATTGTAGTGCACCATAAAGAAATCTTCCTTGTATATAGAGGCAGCTGTTTGTTTGATGTATTTATCCAACTGGTAATTTACTAATACCAACATCTAACAATGTAATAGAGGTAGATTAATGCTAGTAGGAGTAGAAGGTATAGCTCTTGGCATTGGAACCACAAGCATTAGCAGTCCCCATGTTCTCTTAAAGACTCGGTGACGCTGTTATCTGAGTTGGACCCCATGCAAAGACTACACAGGCCTGATTCCTGCATGCAGAGAAGTTATCTAAGAGACGCAGAGTCCTCAGGCCACAGACAGGCAGTTCAATGTTTACATACACACAAGGTTGCACACAAGGTTGGCATTAGTCTAGACTCAGGTGGGACAAGGGAATGCTGACAGGTCTCTGTGGTCAGGAAAGCTTTGTGGAAGGAATTGAATTTCAAAGCTACCAGCACCTAGGACATCAAATAGTATATAAGGAGGGGAGGGCAACACTGGAGAGGAGGCAGTGGTTGTGTCAAAAAAAAATCTCTGCTTCAGGATGTAGTGAGTTTCAGGTTAGCCCTGGTGAGGCCAGTGGCTTCCTCCTGCCCATCCTCCCAAGTCCCAATCAGTAAGCTGAAGTTTTCTTTTCCTTCCTAGGTGCTGCCCCATACCTGAAGACCAAGTTTATCTGTGTGACACCGTAAGTGGCTTCTTTTCCCAAGTTTGCCTCCATTTCTAATGTCCTCATCCCTGGGAATAGAACACTGGGCAAGAGTTATCTTGTGAAGGGTTGGCAGCCCCTGGGCTATGTTTAGTACTCAAAGTGACCTTGTGTGTTTAAAAAGCTTGAGCTTTTATTTTTCTGTTGGAGACCAGAGTTTGATGGCTTGTGTGTGTGTGTTCTGTTCTTTTTTTTTTTTTTCTCCATTGTGTCTTGTCAACCCGGCCCTTTCCCCTCCTGCTGCTCCCCATTTCCTACAGAACGACCTGCAGCAATACCATTGACCTGCCGATGTCCCCCCGCACTTTAGATTCATTGATGCAGTTTGGAAATAATGGTGAAGGTGCTGAACCCTCAGCAGGAGGGCAATTTGGTGAGTATTTGGTTAACAGACTTTGTCCTGTGAGAAAAGTCAGTTTTCTCTCTGTGATGCTTGCTTGTAGAGTCGAGAGCTGGTCACACAGATTGTCAGAAGGAGGCTCTAGAAGGTTGTAGAAGGTAGAAGGAGGCTCTCCAGTAGAAATGGAATACATGCCACATGTGTCATTGTCAAATTTTTTGTAGCCACATTTCTTCTAAAAGCAGGGAAAAGAAACAGGTGAAGTTGATTTTAATAATATATTTTATTTAACCCAAGAAATCCAACATATTATCATTTGAACATGTAATAAAAAATTAACAAGATATTTTTACCTTCTTTTTTTTTTGTACTAAGTCCTTGAATTCCCATGGGGACGTTACACCTGCAGCGCATCTGGATTCGGACTAGCCGCGTTTCTGGTGCTCACTAGTCACATGTCAGGTGGCTTGAGGCCGCCGTATGGAACAGGGCAGCCTTAGATCTTCTTCAAAAATGGAGGGTGGGAAATTTAGAAACAGGTGGTGGTGATGGTTGAATAATGTGGTGAACATAACTAATGTCAGTGAATCGTACATGTAAAAATGGTTGAAATGGCAACTCTTTTTATATATATTTTGCCACAGTATTAAAAAAAAAAATGGGAAAAAAACAGATGGCAGATTCCCGGGGGAGGAGAATAAGTCTGGATTATCTGACCAGGTCTTGGCCTTAGGTGGCAGGAGGTGGGAGAACAGTAGTGGCCCAAGCTTCTGTTCTCTGGTAGGGATGTGTGCCCTGCCAGCTGCGGGGGTGAGGCAACTGCCACTGAACTGGCTTTCCTGTCTGTTTCTCCAGAGTCCCTTACGTTTGACATGGACTTGACCTCGGAGTGTGCTACCTCGCCCATGTGAGGAGCTGAGAACAGAAGCTGCAGAGAGATGTGACTGAGGCACCTACCTGCGTTCCGCCACCTTAAACAGCCAAACCCCAGATCATCTGAAAC